CTCATGCTTGATGTCAGCACGTAAGTGTCCAAGTTTCAGGATGCCCTAATTGCAGCCTTGCAGCACCTGAAGGGAGCAAAGGAAAGATGGAGAGGGACTATTTACAGGGGCATGGAGTGACAGGACAATGGGCAGTAGTTTGAAAATGAAACAGGGCAAGGTTAAATGGGATACTGAGGAAAAATTCTTCCCTGTGAGGGTGGGCAGGCCCTGGCACAGGTTGCCCAGAGAAGCTGTGGCTGCCCCATCCCTGCAAGTGTCCAAGGCCAGGTTGGACGAGGCTTGAATCAACCTGGGCTAATGGAAGGTGTCCCTGCCCATGGCAAGGGGTTGGAACTGGATGAATCCCTTCCCACCCCAACCATTCTGGGATTCTGTGACACTGCCCCAGGAGCACATGTGTCTCCTGGAACACATCTCCCAGCACTTTGATAGTAAATGCTAAATTACAGTCTAATTTCCCCAAATCCTCCCTCACCTTCCCAGTGATGACACACAAGGATCAGCCCCAGCTTGGAGAGTCACCATAAAGCCAGTGCTGCCTCGGGGCTGTGAGGAAACACTCCCCATGTGGCCCATTAATGCTCCAGTAACACAGAGTGATGCAGAGTTTGGGTGACTAACCCAGCTGCAGCGATAGCATCAGCTGTGCCATGAGGGACATTGAAAAGTAATATCCCAACAGACCCCAGGAACAGACATGTATCTTTGGGACTTTCCCAAGATGATACCGATGTTTCTATTTGTTTGCTAAGAGGCACTGTGTATTATATACTGATTATCATCATCCCCTGGAGTCTGGGCTTTATTAGAAGAGCAGGTTTATGTGTAGATTAAAGACAGCACAGGACATTATGAAGAGTTTGTGGGGTCAGTGGCTCGTAAAGATAACCAGTCTGGTTGTGATAAGAAGCAAAATTAGGGGAAAGTAGAAGACCTTGAGGGCAAAGCAATAACCAGGAAATACTGATTCCAGGCAAAAGGATTCCCACAGAGACAGGAGGGAGCAGGAGAGGACACTGAGGGACAGGTCTGGGAGCTGCCAGGACTGCTCAGGGCTGCCCAGAGGTAGAGAGGTCACCCTGGGACAGGAGGCACTGGGCCATGAGCACATGAGCTGAGTCCCCAGGCTCGGTGCACACTCCCTCTGTGTGGAACTGGGATAGCTCTGCAGAGCATGGACAGGTCCCAGCCTCTCCCCTAAGGTGCCTCAAGGCCTGGTCCAGCATCAGAGAGGACTCTGCCACTGGGGAGTGAAAAGGATGGCCAGGAGCATCACCTCAAGAGGTGAAGGACTTCCCTGGAGTTCCTGTGCCCCAGAGTGACCTTGGGTATTCCAGGAGGGGGCTGTCCCAGACCCCCTTTCTCACTGCCCTTTGGGCCAGACACACTGCTGCCCACCCTTCCAGCCCCTCAGAGGCAAATCCAGCTCAGGGAAACTGCACAGAATTGAATCCCAAATAGCTGGAATATCGTGCCCAAGCTGAAGGCACAAGGGGTGATCCAGGAACTTGCCTGAGTGTCCCTAAGCCTTTCCTCAGATCAAGCTGCCTGCCCAGAAGGGCATGATAATGCCCAATTACCCCTAAAGCTTCTACTCTAACATCCCTTGACAGGGAATTACATGTGAGGAAAGGTTCATGAGTGAACTGGCTGCAGAGCCTCGGGAGTGGGTTTAATCTGCAAACCTGTTTTTCCTGGGGGATACAGTTACCAATCATATCAAGTAATTGGGAACAGACAAGGATTCCAGGAGGAGAAATCAATTTGACAGTGCCACTTTTGCCATAGATAGAAGATTTGAATGGAGGTTAGGGATAGGGTTCCTTTAGGAAGTAAGCTTTTGGGTGGTTTTATCCCTCAGATTAGTGGCATTTTGCTGAAAAACTCTCATTTCTCAGTGACAAATAGTGACAATACTTGACAGAGGAGTGGGGAAATTCTCACAAAGTGGCACAGGACATGACAGAGGGTGCCTCACCCAGTAAAACACTGAAAAAAACCCAGAAAATAATTTGACAAATAAATAGGCAGCTAATGGGAAAAGAGAAATAAGCTCATTAGGCCATAGAAATACTTGAATTTAGAATGATTTTGGGGAGCCAACAGCAGGGTGTAACCCAGGGAACTTCATTAAAGAACAGTTTACACTTCTTATCTGCAATCTTCCCCAGGCCCTGGGTCCTGTGCCTGCCAGAGGAGCAGATGTGTGGACAGGCCTGGCCCTTGCAAAGCTCAGTCTCCCTCTCCCAGTCCTCCCAGTCCAGGGATATTGCTGTCTGCTCTCTTAATAAAAGGAAGGTAAACACCCTGCACCCAGCTGAGAGGCTTGTGATTGTATTCAGTTTTGGTTGTCAAAGTATAAATTAAATCAGTTCCTTGTGGTTCAAGGAGCATCAGGGTTCTTCTCCCTGTAGTTTGCTCTTTGTCCTCTGTCCGTGGCTCACAAAAGCCCAGCCAGCGTCATCCAGCTGGATGTCACTGTTTTGAGGTGGGTTCAGTGAGGGACACAAAGCTTCCCCTTCCACACTGGGAGCTGGGGCAGCTCAGGTGGATGAACTGGGGCTTTTCCCAACTGCAGCTGCGTGGCTGAGACCTGGAAGAGGGGGAGAGCATTAAACACTGGAGAAACAACACTCAGGGCATGTGGTGTGTCACAGTCATGTCTTTCAGCTCAACATGCGCACTGCTTTTCCAAGTCAAATCTGCATTAAACTGAACAGCACAGAGGGAAAGTCTTAAGGGGCTGATGGTAGAAATCAGGATGAGACCAGGAAGTTTACTGTGGAATTGATGCTGAGGAAACCCAAACACCTGGAAATACAACACCCAGGAGGGACATGCAGGCAGTCTCAGCCTTGGCTTCAGCAGACCCTCCACCTCTAGGCCCTTGCTGTTCAGTCCATCACCATCAGGCTGCCCTTGGGCTCTGTGTGCCCAGGGCCAGCCCTTCCTTCAATAGCTTTTCCCTGGACAGCTGCAGGATGTGGCAAACTGCCAGCACACAGAAACCAGCCCGTGTCTCTGGTTCAGAAAGATTTATTGCTGTGCTCTACTTCTCTCAAGGCACATCTGTACTCGTTCCTGTGTGACCCAGGAGTTTAGTATCATCCCACCAGAGGACTGATCTGGCCTGAGCACCCTGTGCACAGCCAGTGCAGTGCCTCTGGGACTCGACTGCAGCCCCAGGACAGCCCTCACCAGACTGAAGCCAAACCGAGGGGCACTTCAGGGCCCGGTTTTAAGTAGTGGGTGAGACTCTGTCTGCTCTGGAGGTAGTGTGGAGAAACCCCCAGCTGCATGGGCTGGGAGACTGCCTGATCTGCCCCAGGACAGGCAGGAGGTGTCCCAGCACAGTGAGGGGCCATAGAGGCCAGTCACGGCACTGTCATCAACACCAGTGAGCTCCTGGAGACAATCTGGGGACACTGACCTAACACCTGACATAGGCACCCTTGGCTTAGACAC